TTAAAAAAGGCCCTCCTGGACACTGATCTTTGCCAATTCCTTTTTCAAGAAATCCTTCACTTTTTTTCGCCGGGAAACCCCATAACTTGGACCAGAATAGGAGAAGGATTATTTCGTCTGTCGCATACGGTACACGGATTAGGTATGGGGGTCTGGAGGTGTACTCCCCCAGAAAATTTTTGAAATTTGACTCCCGGAAATGTCATTTCCTGCATTCTGAGCATCCAAATTTGCTCCAAAATTTATCCTAACTATACTTGTATTTGAAATAAATAAAGGAAGAAACACACAAAAAGTAAATTAACCATCATTTATCATTACTTATTAGAGGAGGATAGCAATGGTCAGGTGTGTGGGGGTGTACTCCCCCAGAAAATTTTTGAAATTTGAACCACGGAAATGCCATTTCCTGCATTCTGAGCATCCAAATTTGCTCTAAAACTATATTAGTTGTATTTGAAATAAAAGATGGAAAAATGCAAAAAAAGTAAAAAAGAATATTAACTGTAATTTATCATTACTTATTAGAGGGATAATCCCAAGAAAATGTTTGAGATTTGAAACCGTGAAATGCTATTTTCTGCATCCTGAGCATCCAAAAAATAAAAAAAAATATTAACAATAATTTATCATGGCTTAGTGGTAAAAAAGTAACAATTTAAATCGATTTTGTTAAACAAGAACAAAGGATAAAGGCTAAAACTTACTTTCCGTTTATCTATTTGTTAATCTTCGCTGAATTGTTTGTATAATTTTAGGAAAAAGGGACTTTTCCTGGAGGGGCAAAATGTGGTTTCGTGGGGGGCACAAGGGGGGACTGGGGGGGCAAATGCCCCCCCAGCTTGTATGTTAAAAAAGGCCCTGCACCAGCGGCCCAGACCTGGCCTGGACCTGGCCTTGACCTGGGCCAATTGTGACGCATTCACACTGGCTTGACGCCCAACTCCAGGCCAAAGCAATCAGGCGTCAATATAAACGTCCTTGTGTTCCACTAAAGTATTTAATTTCGCGCTTTGAATGTTTTTCCCTCCAATTGTATGACAATCATCTGACCAGTTTTTATCGTGGGCAGATATTGCGATGGTAACGGGGCCTCGCCCAGGCCAGGCCCAGGAAAAACCCGTTCACACCAGTGATGATCGAGGCCCAGGCCAGGCCAGGTCCAGGCCACCTACATTTGCTGGCCTGGATTTCTTGACTTAGGCCAGGCCTAGGCCAGGTAAAACCCGTTCACACCTAGACCCAGGCCAGGTCCAGGCCAGGCCTGGGCCGCTAGTGTGAACGCGGCTTTATTGGATGACATTTCCACTTAAAACTATGATTAACTTTAATCACTTTTTTATACAACCGACCCCAGGTCTCCATGCAGTCGATCTCCACACAGAAAATTTCTTTCTTCATATTTCTTTGTGCTATCTTATAAAAAAAAACAAAAAACATTTTTCCGTATTGATATACAGTTCGGGTGTCGTGTTTCCACACAATTTCTCGTTTTCCCAATTTCCACTCGTGTTGATACAACTGTAAATATTAAATTGCTATAATATTAATGTTAAACATTATAATGTTTTTACATTACTCAGCTTTATACCCATGAGTCAATATACTGACTAATCATAGTATTTCACCTTATACACTCACTCATCCGCAGTTATGTTTTGTGCATAGCTACCGAGAGGCTGCCCCTGTCTCAGGGCACTAACACTTTCCCAGCCCCCCCCCCCTTATGACGTCATAATTGTAAAACAGGAGAAGCAGCCTGGTGTTTTACAATAGGGAGGTTGAGATTGGTGTTTAGTGGTTTACGGCAGACCGGTAACTGGAAACGGAAAACTTCAATTCGCATTTGAAAGTAAGTTCTACAAGTTTTCGAAGGTCTCGACAAGTTTTTAGTCAATTCATGCTTCAATTTTAATGCACAAATTGTCCTAGTAACTTCGAACAGCGTACAGTTGATCTCAAAATACGACTTGATCATGAAGTTAGCGCCGGGTTCGTGGTCTGGATTATTTTTTCAAAAATATATACTTTTTAACCATTTTAAATTTTAAAAATTCATTTGCTAACCTGTAAACAAATTGTGGGAGTTTTTTCATTGTGTTTTTAATCCTGTAAAGGCTATAATAAGCGAACAACTTGCCGTTTTCTCGTTCGCAAAACGTCGCGGGAAATTCAGTTGGAGCCGCCATTTTGTTTTTCTCTACTAGCAGGATATGAGCTAATATCCTGCTAGTAGAGAACCAATCAGATTGCAGAATATATAACAACACACTTTATTCCACATTATCCGGCACTAACGCAGCTATAGGATTTATATTTTAAGTTATCTTGCATCAATAAATTTTGCGGGACTTCGCCTACTTTGGGGGCCTTTTGCGGTCCTTCGTCCCTTTTTAGCTGAGGTCTAAGGCGCCTGCCTTTGTATTCAAAACACTGTATGAAAAATCCTTTGTGTAGAGACTATGTAAAATGAATAAGGGGCGGACCATTAGAAAATGGGGGAGGGGGGGTGGCAATTTCAGAAAAAAAAATCGTGCAAGGTCAGTTCAGAGGGAAAAAAAATCTTGCAGAAACCCAGCGTGGGAAAAAAATATCTTGCAAGTTATTAGACCAACATATATTTAGGTAAAGTTATAAACCTCAGAGAATAATAAATCAATGGAAATATATAAACGTAAAAAAATTATACATAATGTAGACTATAGTTATATTAAACATACACATCTCAGTCTAAAATATTCAATAATATAAAACTATATGTGAGCTTTATATACTATTATGAACAGGTCCTAATATTACATGTTTTGTACTGTTAATAATATATATCTTTTACAGCCAGAAACCGCAAGCGCACTGCAACGGTAAAAGGCAGAACTCACGACGAGAATTTCCACGGGGTGCTCCCCCTTTTCTATTCATTTCCTTGGATCTCTTTTCCCGCAAAGGTATAATTCATAGCATGTCGCAGCTGCCTGGTGAACTTCAATTCATTCAACGGAGGTACAAAAAGCCTTTTTTCATCTTGACTTATTATAAAATACCAACTATATGCGGCAGTTTTTCATGTATTTTTTATTAATATCTAGGTACATTCTTTGCGGACTAACATTTTGGAAGCCTAGTGGCCATTACCGTGGTGCATTTCAAGTAAACGGCACTTGGTTTTATTACGACGGGTTGTGGGGGCGAAACTATCTTGCCAGATGCCAAGGCCAGCCAGCCACTCCGGAAGGGTTTCTTCTATCACATTGTCTGTATTTATCAGTTTAATAAACGTCTATATCTCGTATTGTGTGTATGTAATGTAATTATATATTCAGTAAACAATATATATAATGGTAATATAAATAGGGCTGTATAATATTAATAAATTATAGTTCACATTCCTTTAAAAAAAAATCGTGCAACACAAGCATGGCTGAAAAAAAAAATCTTGCACAACGTTGTTGCAAAAAAAAATATCCTGCCCGAAAAAATTGCCACCCCCCCTCCCCCATTTTCTAATGGTCCGCCCCTAAGTGAAGAGAGCCAAGATTTTATTGATTGTTGTTTATTATTTGTTCATTACAAGTTTATTTATTATCAGAGATGATCTATACTGTTACCCTGGATTCCAGAGCCTTCGACAGTAAATAATAAATTGAAATGTCACGAAGGCTCTGGTTCAACGGGGCGATTCTTTGATTAAACCGCGCCAATCACAAAACAGAATTAGTGGTTTTAGTACAGAATCTGTACTAAAACCACGAATTCTGTTTTGTGATTGGCGCGGTTTAATCAAAGAATCTCCCCGTTGAACCAGAGCCTTCGCGACATTTCAATTTATTATTTACTGTCGAAGGCTCTGGAATCCAGGGTACTATACTGTCTAACGTGTACTGAAACTCTAACTATGATCAGCCCATCATGAATTCCAGGTTGCAGTATGTTTCTCAGTTACATAAAGACTTTGGAGGTTTTATCAGGGTCGGCGAAGCCGTAGGATTCGTCATTGTCTGCAAAGCCAATTCGAAAACGTATTGTAGGTCGCTGTTTTTTCCCAACTCGGAAAACGTGTTTATCTGGTAGATATAGGAAGTTACGTTTGACATTTCATCTATTCCGTTAATGTACTTGCCAACGGCAACAACAAAAGTTTTCACACCCGGAATATTCCGCTTTAGCTTTTTCGCACTGCATGCATGGCTAGTGTTTTCTGCTATATAATCATTCGACCGTCCATCTGTCACGAGAAAGACCAGCTTTCTTGCGAATGGCCGGGCTCCTAATTTAAAGAAATATAATATAATGCAAGAAACTAAAAAAATAATTAGCATATAGATAACAGGATGGCTTCGAGTGAACTTGGATAAAACATGTACGAGTGAGTTTTTCAAAGAGCATCAAAGTCGGAAGTCATTCGTCCATCAGTCCATCTGTCACTGACGAGAAAGACCAGCTTTCTTGCGAATGGCCGGGCTCCTAATAGTAAAGAAATATAATATAATATGCATGAAACTAAAAAATAATTAGCATATAGATAACAGGATGACTTCGAGTGAACTTGGATAAAACATGTACGAGTGCTATAACTTGAGGTCTTTTGAAAAATTCACGAGTGCTTGTTTTATCCATATATATATATATATATATATATATATATATATATATATATATATATATATATATATATATATATATATATATATATATATATATATATGTACTTAGAATCATATATGATATATGATATATGATACACACTTACGGTGTGCACAATAACACAATACACACAATATATGATCAATGACGTATTCCAATGCTGGCGACACGTACAACATTTCGTATTCCTCATTCGGATGTAGTTTTAAACTGACATAATTTTTTTAAACTACATCCGCAGGAATACGAAATATTGTACGTGTCGCCGGCATTTGAGTAGCCTACGTCATTCATAATTTTTTTTATTTAAACAATATTTAATTATAAAAAGGACAATTTTTCTATAACTTGCAAAGCAGGCGTCTTATTCAAAACGTCCAACCAAAACGTTTGCTTTGCATGCAGGCTAATCAGGCAGACGCTTATATAGAACTGCATCAGTAATTTCGCGCTGATTCTGCTTGTCCACTTTGTCCATGCAGAGTCTGAGCTAATTTTATCGTTTTGTGGAACGCATCATAAAACAAACATGGCAAACATGTTCCGCACTTAAGTATAGGATATAGGCCTTGAGTGCAGATTTGCATTGACGCAACTTGACGCATGGTTAATAACTTGTTTCCCCAACAAATAAATTAATTGTTGCTTTCCTTAACAGAAAAACATAGCAAACCTAAACTGGGCCGGTCTGGCCAATCCGAATTTTGTGTACACTGCATTTGATGGGTATATCCGTTTAGAGGGAACTGCATGCATGCATGTGCTGTGATTCTGCAGCTAAACACACCTATTGGTATAATTACAATGAGTCTATTGAGATTTATAATTCCAACTTGATTTTTATTCTTTGAGCAATCTTGGATGAGGCCTTTGAGAAATGAATCATATATGAGTATAGAGTGCTCGATATACCGAAGTTAGAGCTAATAGAGATAAATAAAGATAAAATAAACCTGGTTTACTTCATAAGATTTTATTCACTACAAACTTGTTTCGTATGACAAGCAATGCTTGCCACACTCATATATCAGGTGAATTTATTTCACCTGGTCGCCAGAATAATTTTTCCGGAAAAATTTTTTTGGTCCTAGTCGGGCAGAATCCCGAAAAGTCGGGCAGAATCTCGAAAAGTCGGGCAATTTTCTTGCCGCCCCCCTAATTTTTTCCTTCCGGTACGCCCATGCCTGGTTTACTTCATAAGATTTATTCACTACAAACTTGTTCGGTATGACAAGCAATGCTTGCCACACTCATCAGGTGAATTTAAATGTAGCGCGACATTTAAATTCACCTGATGAGTGTGGCAAGCATTGCTTGTCATACGAAACAAGTTTGTAGTGAATAAATCTTATGAAGTAAACCAGGTTTATTTTATCTTTATCTATATATATATACATATATATATATATATATATATA